ACACCGGTCTGTGCTTTGCACATTCCAAGCTAGGAATGGCACGGGATTGTCCATCCTCCATCCTTGTGCAAGGTTAAATTTTTGGAAGGGAGCCTGGTTTCCGGGTCCCACCCCCCTTATTGTCGCCCTCCACTCGCCCATTAGTTTGCTATAGCCCCGCCCGCCATTTTTGTATTCGTAGTTAAGTTCTGTTTGTAGTTCTGATTTTGTAAGTTCAATAAATGCACCCCTTTTGAGAGCTTCCGATGATGGATTTCACGCGTCATTAGAGGTTCATCTCTTTCGTGGTCTGAGGAAGCTCGAAAAAGCCCATAAGGCGTTTGGTGCATCCCCCTCCCCCAAGTTAGCCCCCCTCTCTCTTTTCCTCCATTTTGGAGGTGGTCCCTCGGTTTCCCCCCTATTTTCACCATATTGGCTGAGCCCCTCGGGATCCCCCCATTCAACCCCGTGACTGAGCCCCTCCCCCCCTCTCAGTCTCGTTCAATGCTTCTTGGGGCGAACTAAGTTAAGAATAGAGCTGATAAAATTCAATGGCAACAGGCTATTAAAGAGGAGCTTGACTCTCTCGCATCCAACAAAACTTGGAGTCTCGTACCAAAGCCTGAGGATAAGAATATTGTTGATTGTAAATGGATTTTTAGAATTAAGAAGGATGAATTTGGGAAACCTAAAAAACATAAAGCTTGGTTAGTTGCTCGTGGTTCCAGTCAAAAATATGCTGAAGACTATTATGAAACTTTTGCTCCTGTCACTCAAATAGCGATTTTCGGAATTCTGGTGGCTTTTGCCAACCAATTTGATTTGCCAATTCACCATATGGATGTAAAAACAGCTTCTCTAAAGGAAAATTTAAGAGAAGAAATTTATATGAGAATTCCTGAGGGAGTTGTAAGTAATGGTAATCAAGTTTGCAAGCTCAATAAATCTTATACGGTCTAAAACAAGCCGCTAGATGTTGGTTTGAGACTTTTCATGTGAAACTCATTAAAACAGGGTTTAAAACTTCACCGGCTGATCTCTGCGTTTATTTTTTGGACAAAGGAAGTGTTGATAAAAACATTTATGTTGTTCTGTATGTTGAAGATGTTGTAATTATTTGCAAAGATATGGAAGCAATGAATAATTTTAAACGATATTTGATGAGTGAATTTTGTATGATAGATCTTGGAAATATTAGATTATTTCTGGGAATTAGAGTTGAGAGATCCGACGGGATTTTAACTTTGAGTCAATGTGCTTATATTATAAAGTTTTGAAGAATTTTAATATGGCTGATTGTAGTTCCGTTGATACCCCCTTTCCAAGTAAATTAGATTTTGTAGAACTTAATTCAGTAGAAGGGAACTACGCACCCTCTCAGAACCTCATAGGGTGTTTGATGTACATAATGATATGCGCAAGACCTGATTTGTGCGCTGCAATAAGTAATTTATGCAGATATACAAGCAAGAACAATAAGATCTTGTGGCAATACTTGGAAAGGGTGTTACATTACCTAAAAGGCTCAAGGAATATGAAATTGACCTATACAAAGAAAGTTATATTTGCTGATATCTTGAGTGGTCACTGTGATTCTGATTGGGCAACAGATGAAAACGATAGAAAGAGCACTACAGGCTTCCTATCTCAATTATTTGAAAATTGTACCTTTTGTTGGAATACAAAAAAACAAAACTCTGTGGCTGCCTCATCCATTGAAGCAGAGTATATGGCGCTTTTTGAAGCTGTCAGGGAAGCTCTTTGGTTGAAATCGTCTCTGAGTAGTATTAATATGACTACAATAACTCTCATTTTAATTTATGAAGACAACACCGGTTGCATAAGCATTGCAAAGAATCCAAGTAGCCACAAAAGATCAAAACATATAGATGTAAAGTATCATTTTTCTAGAGAGCATGTAGAAAAAGGGCTAATAAATGTGAAATGTGTTCCAATAGGTGATCAGCTGGCCGATTTGTTGACTAAACCGTTATTCACTACAAAATTCAAGAAATAAAGACCGGGGCTGGGTCTTCAAAATTAGCAAAATTAGAGCAAGTCAAAATTCAAGTGGACTCGTCCAAATTCAAGTGAATTCGTCAAAAATTAAAAATTCCAAATCTGTGAAAAATTCAAGTGGACTCATCAAAAATTCAAGTGGACTCAGATTCAAAATTCTAAAAATTGTCAAAGAATTCAAGTCAAATTTCTAAATTTGTTTGCAATGTTTTCGGTCTGATGAGGTTTTTCTGCGTTTCCCTCATCCGTAGCAACAAATGTTGGACCTGCATGTTTTTCAGTGAGCATCTATTAATAATGAAATTAATTTTTGACGAGGCAAATTGAAATGTGACAATGTTGTAACAACATGAGACCAAAAATTAATACGTTTCTTCCCAGCTGAGTTTTTTTCATAACCTCCGGTGCATTAATTAGAAGAGTCGCTACACTGAAAAGTACTGTTTTTATTTCGTTGATCCCTTATATTATCCCTGCATCTTTACGTAATGGACCACTCGTTGGATGCGAAAAAAGATGAAAAATCTAAAGAACTGATTTTGGTTCAAATAAAAAATTGAGATTTTGTAAATTCTTTGTTTAAAAGAAATTGTCCAGACGTAAAAACTTGAAAAAAGCACATATGTTAACTTAAAAATGTGATATCAGGATTTCGACTTTTAGAATCTTAAAGTATGTAAGTTTAGACGATTTTTCGTCCAAACCGGACCACGATATCTTTCTTCGTTCGAGAGATATCGAAGTTCACAGGTTTTGACTTCCACCCCCCTAGCCCCCCCCCCCACAAATTTTTTGGGGCTCTGAAAACTTTGGAGAAGAAGCGCTCAAGTATGAGTAATCAATAGACAGAGTCTGAAGAAATTCCTGAGGGGGGTTCAAAAAAGCTGTTTTTGCATCAAGCTCTTTTTCGATGATTGGAACATAGAGGAAAAGCGTCGAAAGTGCAGAAACAATTTGAAACGGAGTTCCTTCCCGCGCCTCAAAATCATGTGACTGACGTCACAACGCACGGCCAAGGGTTTTTTTTTCTATATAAACTGCGTGCTAATATGAGTTTTTTAAAAAATCAGAAAAAATCTAGTTTTCCGACTAAACTCATTTTTTTTTTATCTTGATGGATACCTGAAGATAAGTTCCGATGTATGCAACCGGCAATTTCCGGAGCCGCAAATGGATCCTGAATCTTCCTTTTTTAACGGAAGTCCAGCCATTCAATATCTAGCCTCCTATCTTTGTTCTTTTTTCTTTTTTCTTTTTGAGGCTTTTGTCCTTTTGTCTTTCCCTTCTTTTTTACATTTACCATTCTTTCATTCATCGTATGAAATAGAATTTTTGTACCGATTCTTTTTTAAGGGGCAAAAAAAAAGATGGAGATAAGATGAATCAATTACACACTGGGTTTTTGGCTCTTCATGACGATTTCTGGGTCGAAGAGTGAGTCAAAAATCGCTCCTTTCCTGTTTTCCTCACAGAGCGAAGGAGCCGTTCGGCGGTGAGCGGAGGGCTGTGTGCAGCAGCCAGCCCTGCTCTGGTTTCTCCGGCAGCGTCCGCTCATCATCATAGCTAATTGGAGCTCGAAATAAACTTAACTTAACCTAACCTCCACTAGATAAACACGTAGTCAAGATGTGGGTAATGGCAGCTAGGAGAGGCAGAGAGGCTCCCATGTGTTGTGACGCGTAGTTTGACCAACTGTACTGCAGCCAATGGAAAGTGTTCTTTTCCAACTTGAATTTGATGGAACTTTGACAGGCTTTTTTGGGCTTTAGGACTTGATTTTTGACTTTTTGAACATTGCCATCGTTTTTATGGCGAAAAGTTCCTTGACTACATAATTTTTATTCTCAAATCCCTCGCCCATGAAACAACCCCATTTGAAGGTGTAAGTCAGCAATCACATAACTCCTTTGCTGTATCTAAAAATCTCCATGGCTATGTTATTTTTTTGACCAATTGATATCATTCCTTGAAGTTTATACAGAATTTTCTCCGCACAGAGAAGAAAAATCATGGCAGTTTTAAAGATTACTTTGAGTAGTTTTTCCGTTTAAAAAAGAATAAAGTATGACAGGAGGTCTGCGATGTTGTAAACCGAGTTACGTGATTGCCCGCTTATGCCGTTGACTTGTTTTTCGGTGTCATTCTAAAGATTCGCTACCAATTAAAGTTTGTTAAAAGGAACGTTAGGCTACTTTTAAAGTGAGAGGATACTTTAAGTGGCAGTCAAAACTGAGACACCGTTTCATGCTTCCTCCAGGAAAAAATAAATGGACTGAAGTCACATTGTTTTTCATGGGCGGTATGACAGTTGCTGCTAGATGTGAGGGGAGTAAACTTTTAGTTGCAGTGTTGCATACGTGCGTATTTGAAGGCGGTTGATGAAAGAAACGCTGCTGAAAAAGATTTCATCAAGAATAATACTTTCGGAGGTGCTGGTTCCTTTTCCATCATTTCAATTTTGTACCAGTACAACCATGAGATCTAAGTTTTTTTATTGCATCTGATTATCCATATTGTTCGCAACGCATGATGTTCCATCCACGCTGTGGGATTAACTGTACCTTTTAATAGAAAAAATAAAGCACTCAGTCCTGTTAAACTCTATTGTATTGAGTCTTTATTTTGTCAGCATTGGCAAAGAATAGGTTTGAAACAGTAATTTACCAACCATCTATCTCGGAATTCAGTGTTGGACCTCAGTTCCACGAACACATAACTCGGTTTTTCGGCCATTTCTGCTGAAAGACGAGAATATTATTCAAAAATTGATGGCAGAGTCTTGTAAAGCATCTTATTCTTGCTGTCTCCAAGAATTATACCCCTCTGATTCCAAAGATGAGAAATATTGAGAGTTTTTTCCCTCTCCTGAAAAATCGCGTTTTCCGAGTTATGTGATTGCTGACTTATATTGACCGTCGATTTATATTGCATGACACTTCTTCTTTAATTCTCGTTCGAACTCCTTTCTTCTTATTTAATAATCTGTCTACTTATATTTCCAGCTGTTTAGACGAGTGGCAGCAGCCCTACCTGGAATGGACTCAACGGAAAACAAACCTCCTGAAGACAGTATCCTTTTACATTTACCCGTTCTAATTATTGAGTTACAATTAGCTTCTTTCGTTGGTTTTTTGTTGAAATATACTTGAAAGCGTTCTATTATGAACGTTTAAGAAGGACCCTTAGCAAAGAGTAATGATAAACGTTTCCCGGGGTCAGTTCCAATGAATTAAAAAATCAAAAAATTTGGACCTGTCCTTAACCACACTTTAAAAATTCTATGGGACGTTCACTAGGATGGAGCGTTTTTCAGTTTTTTCGAAATTGCGAAATGGGTAGGGCGGAAAAGTTGCTGTGCAGAAGACTATTGGACACAAGTTTTTTTCTTTTTCTAAAATTTTGACCCTTTCCGTTGCCCCCAAGCCCTCATCGTTTTGATATTTTTTAAAAAAAAATCGTGTTTCTGCTGAGTCTGAGTTAATCTCAGTATTGAAGCGTCACTATGGCCTTGATGGCCAAATAATATGGTAGCATAGTTTTACTAAGACGTACAGAGCTTATTTTCTGAGGCACATTATTGTCAAGTTCCAAAAATTCACGGAAAGAACACTATCTCTGGTAATTTTCGAAAATCTCCGAAAATTCGGCACCTCGCCAGAAAACCAGTCCAACAAGGAAGTGCAACCTCGCCACAAGACATTTCAGAGGTATTTTTGCTGGTAGATTTCCTTTTTTATACAAAATTATAAAAAAATTACTTCCAATAGCATTCAACTGGTTCTATGGTTAAATGGTACAAAGGGTTTCAAGAAGGGATGTTGTTTGTTGGGGACATTATTTAAAACATATCTCGAGCATGTGCTTAAAGAATGGAAGAAAAAATGTACTGAAATGAGTGTCCCCCTGGGTGATTTTAAAACTGTCCTTACTCCGTGCTTTGCTGATGAACAAATGGTGATTACACAAGATCAAGATGACGCCGAGTACAAGATGCGCAAGTTGGTTGAGGAGAATCGGAAGTGGGGTTTGGAAGTCAGTATATCCAGATCTGAGATTTTAACTTTGGGAGGTGATTAGCAAAGCACAGATCAAGGGCTGGGCAGAATACAAGTACTTGGGGGTGCGATTGACCCAGGATGGAAAGACGATAGATCAAGCTGTAAAGGAAAGGAACACCCCAGGGAGATAGGCTGTAGGGATGTTAAGTGGAATCCTGTAAGATCCGCGGATTTCCAAAGAGAACTAGAGAAGAGTTTACGACGCCAAGTCAAAAGTATCCTCACATATGGCCGTGAAAGTTAGCAGCTGAAAAAACGAACACAGGGTATGCTAAGAGCACTGGAGATGGATTTCTGGAGAAGGTTGGCTAGAATATCTAGAAGAAATCGGGTCAGCAATGATAGAGTGTCACATCATGGGAGTCGAAAATTACATTGTATTAGATTCGCAATTTCTTTGAATGACATTTCCGGATAAATCATGGGTTTTCCCGGGAAGGAGGCCTCTCATTCTTTCCAGATTCTACTGTTGCCAGATATGCTGTTTTTCTAGTACTTTTCCTCTTTCAAGCATGTAAAATATTCACATTATCACACAATCTGGCAAAGCCGGACTGGATTCAATGAGGAATGAATGAGAAAGTGGAAAGGTGAAATCCTCCGAAGTTTATATGAATGGTGCCTTGTCACACGATGAGCAAGGAAAGAAAGTTCGTGGAAAATCGGTTTTCAAATCCTAATTCTATTGAAGTTTTTAGAACTGTTAATTTCCACACTAAATCTATCACTAAGTGAAGAAAAAAAAACACTAAGAAGTGGCCCGAAACTGTATCTAACAAGGTGGAGAAATGGTGCTGGGACGCTGGGTCCACACCATTTCGCGGGGAAATCAAAGCCAAGGAGTTCCAAAAATTAAAATTAGAGTCAAAATTTTTTGAGCTCTAATGCGCACCAGTACGAAACTGAGGGGGGAGAGTGTTCAGCTCAGGCAGTTTGCATAGGAATATTAAGTTGGAGTCCCAAAAAGGCCCAAACCGGTATAGATCTCTCGACGTGACTCCAACTTAATATTCCTATGCAAACTGCCTGAGCTGAACACTCTCCCCTCTCAGTTTCGTACTGGTGCGCATTAGAGCTCAAAAAATTTTGACTCTAATTTTAATTTTTGGAACTCCTTGGCTTTGATTTCCCCGTGAAATGGTGTGGACCCAGCACCATTTCTCCACCTTGTCTCACTAAGTTGATGATATCTATGGCATCATTTCAGTAACCCTGGAAAGAAATATTTTTTTTCTGGAAAGAAAAACTTTTTCTCAAGGGGAAAAACTTTTTTCACTGGGGAGAAATTTTTTTGAGGAGAGGAAAGAAAATTTTGATGAGGGTAGAAACTTTTTTTACGAGGAGAAAAACTTTTTTTTACTAGGAGAGAAATATTTTCCTCGGGCGAGAGAAAAAGTTTTTTTCCCCGCATGAGAAAAAAATATTTTCCCCCGGTCGAACAAAAATATTTCTCCCCGCGCAAGAAAAATGTTTCTCCAACGCTACAAAAAGTTTTTTTTTTTTTTTTTTTTTTTTTATTCATGTAAATGTACATAGCAATTACACTTGAAATTTTCAGACCAGATAGGTCTTTATAAAATTTTACATTAACTTATACCTAATAAAGTATAATACACACCACTTTTTAGAGTTAATAACAGAATTCAAATATTGAGAGGGGATAAAATTACAAAAGAGATAAAGATTAGATAACTGAAACTAAAGTTAAGAAAATAGGGACATCAAGGTGAGAGCTAACTATTGAAAGAAAGAATTTTACGAAAGTTACGAAGAGATTGTAGGAAATGAAAATTAAAAATAATTAACTTGAATGTCAAAAGAAAAGGGAGAAAAAGCGGGAAAAACTAAGAATGAATAGCTATGTGAATTCTCATGTAAAACATGAGAGTTTTTTATTTAAGAGTGCGTGACCCCGTCAGTCGACAAAGACTAAATCGGGGGCCAGTGGCACGAGCCTAACACTGGCGAAAGCGAGCCGTTGCCAACTCGTGGGGTTTTCTTCTTTTTAGACGGCGTGGAGCCTCCATCCAGTCCAGGAGCGTTATCGCTTCCGGGTTAGGGTGTACTCCCAAACGCTCTTCATAGTTGTTATACAACCTGGATTTATGTGAATCCATTTCTTCTATCCCGAACTCGCCACGAATATCTGCGTTACGCTCGTACCACCTGGCCCCCGCCATTTGTCTTAAAATTTTGTTTTGTGTGCGCTCAATGATCTTTAAATTGGAAGATGCAGCACAGGCCCACATCTGACTGCCGTAGGTCCAGAATGGCCTTATCATGGATTTATAGAGTAATATTTTATTATTTAAGGATAATTTTGAACGCTTCCCAAGGAGCCATAGCATTTGACGATGCTTTAATTCGATTTGCTTTTTTTTAGTCAGGATATGTCTTTTCCAGTTAAGTCTGCTATCCATGATAAGGCCAAGATAACGGGCCTCAAACGCGTGAGGGATGGCAGTGTTTTCGAGAATCAACGGTGTGTGAACGTAAGGGCGGAGGGTAAACACCACGTTCACCGACTTTGAAGCATTAAGCACGGTTCGATCATTATTCGTCCATTCTTGGATGTTATCCAGGCCCGACTGTAAGTATGTAACAGTCTCGTTGCATGTGGGGGCTGACGATGCTACGGCAGTATCGTCAGCAAAGATACCCAATTTACAATTTTTTGTTTTTGGGATGTCTGCTGTGAAAAGACTGTAAAGGAGAGGGGAGAGTACAGATCCCTGGGGTACCCCTGCTCTAATTGATTTAAATACAGAGTAAGCGTCTTCAAATCGGACTCTGAAAAAACGACTATCTAAGTAATACATTAGCAGTTTGACATGATTTCCAGGTAGCATTTTGGATAGTTTGAATGCCAGTTTTTGATGCCACACTCGGTCGAATGCCTGGGCAACATCCAAGAAAACGACATTACAAAATTTCTTCTCTTCTAAAGACTTCTCAATAAAAGCAGAGATGCGATGGAGTTGCTCTATTGTGCTGTGTTGTGGTCGGAATCCAAATTACTCGTTAGGGAGAAGTTTTTTCTTCATAACAATAGGAAAAAGTCTTTTAATATAGAGCTTTTCGAACAGTTTACTTATAAGGGGCAACAAAGAAATAGGTCTATAGGAGCTGGGTGCTGAAGGAGGTTTACCCGATTTTAGTAGGACTATTACTTCAGCCTTTTTCCATTGTCGTGGTACATATTTTAAGGTTAAGACAGCGTTAAAAATAGTTGTTAATTTTCTAATTGCTGCTTCTGGAAGTTGTTTCAGCACAACACCCGATATGAGGTCAAAGCCAGGACACTTTTTGATTTTTGTTTTATATTTGATTTCATTAAAAATGTCCTCAAAGTTAATTTTTTTAATTTTTTCATCGGGGAGGAATTGAATATCATTTACCTCGTTCAAAATTTCTCTCTCTCGTTCTGGGTCAGTACAGGGGTTTGGTTGAAACACTGATTCTAAATGGGCATTAATTGTGTTTGCTTTTTCTTGGCTGTTGTTAGCCCATTCCCCGTTTGATTGTAAAATAGGGAAGCTTGTGTGGAAAGGGCGTTTCAGAGATTTAGTTGCTTTCCACAGTGAGTAATCATTAATTTCTTTTGCACTTAAATCCCGAATAAATTTTTCGAACTGAGCGTTCCTGAATTCGTTGATGCGTTTTGTTACTGCTTTGTTCAATTGGTTGTAACGAACTTTGTCTGCGGGAAACAAGGAAGATTTTTTGCGTCGTGCAGCCCCCTTTTTCCTATCAATTAAACGAAGAATTTCTGCCGGAAGAGTACATTTTGGGTAAAAGTTCCCATTATTACGTGCAACTGGCGTGCTAATTTTTGCAGCCTCTTGTATAAGGGAAGTTAGACGTTCAGCTTCAAAATCGAGGGATTTTTGATCGTTAATGGTGGTAGAATTATCGATCCGGTTTGTTAAGGTTGTACGAAATTTTTCCCAGTCCGTTTGGGCGGAAAAGAGACACGGGGGTCTTTTAGTTAATACAGGTGTAGCATAGATA